TAATAAATCAGCTGATTTTCCCCCTTTTAACTCGATTTAAACCCATAATAATTCACATCGTCGTGCTCACCTGTCGCCCTTGTCGGGGAGAATATCTTGTACTTCGACATAAGACTTCCGTAGAGCCCTAAGATCACCCTAAATAGTGTGAGTGTCTCCTCCAGGGGACATAAGAACGCGGATATCAACAAACGTCACATGGCCAAAGAAAACGGGACATTTCCTCATTTTAGATGATTTTCGCTGTTTTTGCCAATGCCTGGGGCCTAGTGGTACATTCTGGGAAATTGGACTCTTTCTTTTGGATTCTTGGGTGTCTTTTTCACCATGGTGATGTCCTTTGGTTCGTAATAAAGAAGTTTAAATAGACTTCCTAAATTTAAATTTACCGCTTCGAGTGAGCTAGCGGTGTATCATCTTTTCTCTTGCGTCTACGTGAACATCGAGATTATTATGACATCCCTAGATTCTTATAAAAAAGAAAAGAATAAAACATGAAATCAAAACATTATATGTCAATTCAAATCAGAGTAGGACTAATAACTGATTCCCTCTTCAGACAATTATTCTGAATAATAATATCAAATCTTACTGACCATCGAGGGAATGACATTATCAAAATATAAAGATAAATAAGAAGAGAAGAAACACCATCTGATACTGCATACCAAGTCTACTAATAATGAAATGTTAAACGAGTTTCGAAAAACGCACTTTTACAAGATGCATACCCGTCGCCATCTTGTTGTATATTACGGATTTTTGGGGGAAAAAATAGGCGTATTCTGAAGATCCTGCGAATTTTATAACATTTTTCTACATTGTGATGAAATGGTGAGATTGGTAACATTGCAATTGCGCTTTTTTCCTGAAAACTAGGGAATGACAAGAGACCTGTCCTATTAGTGTTTGAAAAGGAAGGAAAGTATGAAAAAGAGTTGATATAGATGAATATATATATATTTCACCCCTCTAGTTGTGTTAGATCACTAGATGTAGAGAGAGATCAATAAAAGGGACCTATACTTGATAGTAGAGCCACTATTGGTACTCTTGAAAAGGCCCCACGAACAAGATTCATTGCTCCTAATCTTGAGGTAAAACCCAAATTTCCAAAAAAAGTTGTTTTACCATTGATAAGTTCCAAATTACATTATGCTTTGGGTTGCTTTTAACTTTGGTATGGTGGGAAAAGAAGTCTATCAAAAGCAATGAACAAATTAGCGGTAATTTTACACAATAGCGCCACATAACGGATCATGATGATTTTGATAACACCGGACTCATCACATTCTCTAGTATCCACATAACTTGGAATTATTGCATGGAACCCCCTACCCATTTGCAACAACCTCGGCCCCATAGCAAGTTTGAGCTGAAGCTCAAGAGCACCAAGTGGACTTGGGTTGTTTCTTTTTTTCCTTTATTTGCAGCATAACGATTTGTGTGTGCAGATTATTTCTTGTACGTACAACTGCATCTTTTGGTTCTCTACAAGAATATCATATTCTATTGCCCTAACTTAGTGTTTCCATATCTTAAAGATAAACCCAGGTTTAAGATACTGGAACTTTGGTTCCAAGTGGAAAAGGTGTTGTAAGTGTCTCAGAATATGAGCACAAGACCTTGTATAAAGAGAGTGAAAGATATGTATGTATGGTTGTAGTTTTTGCAGTTTGTGCAAGCCAGTATATACTACTCATATTCATAGTGCTAGGAGTATCTTCTAAAAGTTTATTAAATATGTTAATTATCTCACAGATTTAAAATGGCTTCCCTGAGCAGTGAGCGACAGTTGCGATTCCGCTGGAATGACCACATGCAGCATGTTTCAAAGGTAAAATTGATGATTGTTTATTTGTTTTTTATCAGAAGTTAAAAGACTCATTGCAGGTAGTTTTATATTGATTCACAATAATATTTTAAGTGTAAGGTCTGTCACTTTGAATAAGATTTCATCTTTTTCTGTTGCTAACATGCCATTTAGCTCCTGGCTTTATATATTATATATAGTTGAATATTTCTGTGTGTTCTATGTCATTAATTTTAGAGGGCACTAAGATGCCCTTATCATGTGAATTATTGATTTACAAATGCATTATTATTTGGTTATGACTACTAGAAAATAGCTTTTGCATTCTAATAAGGTACACTGAACAGAATAAGACCAGCTTTGCTTTTTTGAACTTAGCTTCTCTTTTCAGGTTTTAACACTGCAAAGGCTAGAGGAGCAGTTCTGTGACGTGACTCTTGTATCAGATGATGGTTTCGTGATGAAGGCACACCAGGCAATCTTGGCCTCCACATCTGCCTATTTCCAGCGAGTCTTGTCAGAGGTTGCTTCTGATCAGTATCCTATGATTGTACTTCGAGGGGCAAAGTTCCGTGAGATGAGCTGTCTCTTAGATTACATGTATCAAGGAAATACACAGGTGAGTAAAGACTATGATATCTAATGATAATGAACTTATGCTTACAGATTTCAGAATATTAGGGGACGGATTTAGCTTTCCTATTTGATAAAGAAATTCACATGTTCAAAGCACCATTGCCCTAGATATACTTGAATTATTGTTCAGAAACATGTTTGCATCTCTTGTGTTCACATACCATGAGGACACTTAGTACTAGAGGTAGTAAGCAATAGATATCTGTCTTGATATGATAGAGTAGACCAGAGGCTAATTCTTGTAATCTTTTGAGTGTAATCCTTTACTTTGTTATCCTAAAAAAAAGAAGTTACTGATGTAATGATGAGCAATGGTACAGATAGGTGCCATAAGGATGATAAAGCTTTTACTTAAAGTGTGAAGTAATTTACTTGCAAGTAAAATGCTAAAAGTAAGCAAGAATGGGAAATTTAGAGTGAAGTAAACTACTTCAATGAATATGTAAGCACATATCTTATTTGGCAAGGTTTGAAACAAAATAGTGTTGGAATACAATGTTTCTACTGCATAATGGTATTTATTACTTACGTACTTAGTAATAGAAATTATTAATGTGCTACTCTAAAGCAAAATGAAAATCTGTGGTGAAGTTGTCTCACAGACATGTATTGACAATAACCAGCATTGCTTATTGTCGATTTTGAAGAAATGTGCTCCCAATTATTTATACCCTAGTGAGATCTCAGAAGGAATGTTTTTTTATCGCCTGAATAGTCTTTGAATTATTGTTAAAAAAAAAAAAAAAATTCTATAAAATCCTGGAAAAAAGACACTGGTATTCTAATTTCATTTTTTAATAGATTCATCCTAAATCTAGTGCTTAGTAACAAGTACTTTTCTATTTTTGTATGTAGAAACTGACTGTGCAAGAAAAAAAAAAAAAAAAATTACATGTCATTTTTACAAGAAGCACAGGAAAATATTGCAAAAAACAAATGTTACAAGCACTAGATTTTTCATTCAGCTACAAAATGAGCCATAAGACATTTACTTCGGACAAAATTGTGTGTGCTAGAATTTTTGAAGACTCGGAGGTCGTTTCAAGATTTTCTCTCTCTCTCTCTCTCTCTCTCTCTCTCTCTCTCTCTCTCTCTCTCTCTCTCTCTCTCTCTCTCTCTCTCTCTCTCTCTCTCTCTCTCTCTCTCTCTCTCTCTCTCTCTCTCTCTCTCTCTCTCTCTCTCTCTCTCTCTCTCTCTCTCTCTCTCTCTCTCTCTCCATATATTGTCATAATTGTTTTGGTAACAACAAAATGGGCTATAAGAATAATCTTCCAACATAATCCTCTATTATTTACCTGCATTCCAAAGTATTGTGTAAATTCCTCTCAAGTAATAGCATCTCACTAAGCAACATTTGTTATGGTAGGGTCACACTGATTTGGGGTGTTTATAGGCCTACATTGACCATAGTAGGAAACTTCTCTAAGATCTCAAAAAAAACAAAAAACAGATATTCTGATTTCATTTTTGAACAGAAAAATCTTTTATCTAGTGCTTGTATGAAGGACTTTTTTTCCGATTATGACTTAGTTTTTGGTTTGTGAATATTTTGCATGGACAGCTTTTAGAACAAAATAAAAATGACTTTTTTTATATTTATGTCACTTTTACAAGAAGCACAGGAAAAAATAGCAAAAACAAAATGACACAAGTGCTAGATTTATCATTCAGCTACAAAATGAGCCATAACACATTTATTTTGGACTAATTTTGTGTGCTACAGCTTTTGAAGACTACAAAAGGGTCGCACTTTAGTTGGGGTGTTTCTCGGCTTACATTGACCTTTTTTTTTTTTTTTTCTGAAATCAAAGAAAAGTAATACTGTAATTCTGATTTCATATCTGAATAGAACAATCTTTTATCTAGTGCATGGGGGATGTACATTTTTCAAATTTGACCAACTTTTTTGTGTGAATATTTTATGTAGGTGATTTTTTAAACACCATAAAAGGGGCAATGTTTCATATATGTTACTTTTACAAGAAGCACATGAATATATTGCAAATCCATATTGCATCATACAATAGATCTACTATTCAGCTACAAAATGAGCCATATTACGTTAAAATCAGATTGAAAATGTGTGTACTATGCATAAAAGTGTAAAGCACCGAAATTTCGTGATTTTTTCCTCTTCATTTTTTTTACATTATGGATAATAAATCATATATGAAATAGTTGTATATGATATAATTATCCATTATTTCAATTTATTGTTGCTCTAATGGGGTTTTACAACATACAGTACTAGTAAAAAAAATGATCATTCTCAAGGCCAACGGAGGCAGTCAGAAGGGGAAGCGCACATTTGTTTTTGAGGTATTGGTCCCAGGCTTTGTAACTCTATAGGATGAAACACCCAACTTTCACACCAACACTTCCCTGAAATAAAAGTCATACAAATACAGGGCAGTGTAAAACTATGTATATAAAGTATGTAGTATATACAGATCATTTCCATGTATTCCTTATATGACCTTATGTTTATATATGTTGTTATTTCCGTTTATTTGTTTGTCTGTTGATTGTTTGTTTGTTACGTTTTTCTGGTAATTCAAAAAGTTATGAACAGATTTTAGGGAGATTTTTACCAGAGGCGTATCTGAACCTTACGTAGATGCCGTGACATTTTGGTGGTTTTTGGATTCAGGAATTGATTTGGAGGCAGGAATTATTTGTTCTAACTCAAAAAGTCATGACAAATTTAAATGAAATTTTTACCTGAGGTATGTCTTAGCCTAACTTAGACTCCATAAAATTTTGGTGATCTGGATCATTTGGCAAACCTACACCAGTTTGGGGTGGGTGGGGGATTTGCATGTTCAAAACATTGTGCTCAAGGATGAAACTGATGAAATATGATCAAAGCATAAAGAAAAGAAAATACTCCATATATATGGCATATGATTTTTATATATTTGTATACATTAGTGTTTTTTAAAGTTTACCAGATTTTTTAGATTATTCAAAAAAGATGAAGGTAGGTCTCATATTAGGTGAAATTTTATAAGCTTTCAGAAAATTATTCCTTTTTTTATTTTATCTAATTGTTATATCACAATTGCTGATTCTGTAAGGTGAGGTGAAAATTCATCGATACATCGAAAGTGGCTGATACCACCTGAAAAATAGCAGGTGGGCCTTGAAATTTTCAGGGGAGATTCAGAGAAACTCTTTGGAAGTGCATTTAAATCAAATTTGGCAAGAAGGGTGAAAAATGCCTAAAAGAGTAGATGGTTCCCTTAAGGTTTTATTTGTTCTGTTTGAAACTTTTCAGAAAATGAGCTTAGTGATTCCAAAAAATCACTCAAAATAAAAATGACTGCCCATTCCCTGTTTCATCTCTGTTTACATTAATGGTGCTGATTGGTGCAAACATAACTTTAAATCAAATTTCATGATGATAGCCGTCTAAATTACAGACAGTAATTTCATTTGGAAATTTGCATATATGTTTTAACAATATTATGATTTACATAAATATTTGATAACTATTTTATGTTTAGGTTGCCTTTGTATTAGATTTCATGATTTTTTTCATGAGATCACATGAGGAAGGGCACATCTTGGCAAATGACTGGCTTTGTTCCAGTAATCCTTAATTTTCAATCAAATTACTTTGAAGTAACTTGATTCTGAATATAGAATTTAATTGAGACATTACTTGCAAATAAATTGCTTTGGACTCTAAATCCAGGCTTAAATATCCCCCAGCAGACAACTCCAGTGATTTCTCAACTTTCACAAAGTTCGCATTTTCTCTTTGTAATTTGAAGAGTAACACTTTACATGTGTGGCACTATTTTTACTGATTATGATGCTTTAGATCAGATGATTAGGATTGGGCAGCCAAAAGATGTTTTTCATGCATATATCAATATTTACTAAGAAATAAACAAACAAGGGAGAAAATAGGCTAAGCACTGCTGGCATGAAATAGGTGGATCTATCAAGATGGAGAGATTATCTAGACCAGAAAACATGTCTATTCTTGATTATATCAAATGTATCCCCAAAAAATGAAAAGACAGATTTCAATAAAAGTTCTAAATGTACATTATACAAGTGATATATATATATATATATATATATATATATATATATATATATATATATATATATATATATATATATATATATATATATATATATATATATATATATATATATATATATATATATATAATATATATATATATATATATATATATATATATTATATATATATATATATATATATATATATATATATATATATATATATATATATATATATATATATATATATATATATATATATATATATATATATGTATATATATATATATATATGTGTGTGTGTGTGTGTGTGTGTGTGTGTGTGTGTGTGTGTGCATGTATAGTTGTTTTATATGCATAAGGATAAACTAACATTTTTTTATGGCAAAGCCATTGCATGCAGCACATGTGTTACAGTGCACAGATTGAGGACCACTGCTCTGTACGATGGCCAAAATTATGCATTCTGGATCAAACTACCACAAATGATTATTCTCCATTTCTTGTAGCTCTATCTTTCTCAATGCCACTTGGTTTCCAAAGGTTGATAGTTCCAAAGAAAGCTGTTAAATGACCAATTTAAACTTCACAAGAAGGTATTAATCATCATCATCAAGGGAGCTGACGCCGACGGGGGCGCATAGCCGCATCCACCCTTCGCTTCCACCTACGAGGATCCCTCATGGCTAGACGCCAGGCAGGGACTCAGCCCATCTCTATTTCTTCACGACAGGTTTGGTCGATCTGCCCAAGTCAAGACTTCCTCGGTCGTCCCACAGGCCTCCTCCACCCAGGGTTGTCTCGAACAGAGATGACCTGATGGGCAGGATCATCCTGAGGAAAGCAAGCCAGGTGGCCGTATAGCCTGAGTTGGCGATCACGGATTGTGCAGATAGCAGGTCCTGTGCCAGTCTCACGGTGCAACCGTTGGTTGGACACATGGTC